GTTGTGTTACACAAAACAGTCGGACAGAGAATACCATCACTCCATTTTATTGATCGAACTATTGTTCATCGCGTGCCGTTCAGGTAAACAAACAATTCGATATGAATTCATGCGGCACATGATTAATAGTAATAGTCATAGCTGCTTATTTTCAAATCAGAATATATTATTTTTATGAATTGTTTGTCCAACGGGTAGTTTACCGCGACTGTAATTACAGTACCATCACAATAAATATTAAACGCTTGACGTGTCGGTTATCGCATAAATAATTCAACATAAATTCTCGACGACCCAGCCAATAAACACAGTAATTGTATTAATTGAATCAAAATTATTTGTTTACTCCTCTCACATGAAAATCGGTTTCATCAATTGTTTTACTAATTCATAACCAATTTGGTCGAAATCAGACAATGACAATTTTTTTTTTCAGAAAGAACACAACTACGTATATTCAAACTGCCTACGAATATTAATATACTTTGCTGAATATTTTCGAGGAAAAAGGTTTTGTTGAATTTGACTAGATTAAACTCTTACCTACTAAGTGTGTGCAGCAAAGTAAAAACTGTGAAAATATTTAAAACCCCGATTTAGAAAAGAGTACAAAAATTTCGAATTTTGTCACATTCATCTAAAGATTTTCTTCGATTTTCACCAAATTTGAAAATGTCCACCGATTTTTAGAATGCATCAAAGCAACGGATATACAACTCCCAGTAGAAAGAGCAATATTACCGATTTCAACCTGGGTAAATCCCGTTTTTAAAACCAAATTGCACCGTTTGCCAAATCGGTGACTGTGAATACGGATCCGGTGAATACTGCCGATGTATGGACACAGGTGGAAGTACCGGCGACACGAGTAAGTGTCTGTTTCAAAAACAAAAGTTCCAAAACCAAATTAATATTTTTTTTTGGTATTACTTTTCCGCACACACCTAGTGTGAAAGGGGAAAGTATTGCAATAGGTCAAAATTTACGAAACTTCAAAAACATGTTTTCTGGACGTTTCTGAGGTCAGAGAACCCGAATCAGGCCGTTTTGAGCATGGTTGTTGTGGGTCGCTTCCACGTCGTACGTCGTACGTCGTACGTCGTACGTCGTACGTCGTACGTCGTACGTCGTACGTTGTCCGCCGTACGCAAAATTTGTCCATCGATTTTCTCACCACCCAGAAAAGTTATTCGAAATCTGACTTCACGGGGTGATTGGGGGTCCCCAGGAATAGAAATCATCAGATTTTGAGCGACTTTGGTTGATGGAAAAAAATTCCATGCCTGGAGTGATACCTATGAAAAAGAGTCCAATTTTCGTCCAAAAGTCATACTTAATGTAGTCATAATAAACACTCAAAAATATGTATTGGGGGGTTTTTTGGCACGAGAAAACCGAATCCGACGTTAGTTTTGAGATACAATCAATTTTTAATACAGTTTCCTTGAAAAAATCACAAAAAATTTGGATTTTTGTATGGGAGCCATGCCTGTATGCTACCTTAATACTTTGCGGCTACAGGACATATCTTCCCCGGTTACAATTTCCCCAAATTTTGGTCATATTTTCTCAAATTTTTAAAAAAATATCTGGGGAAATTATATCCATTCAGTTTTGGATATAAATTCTCCATCAGTTTGGTAATATTTTCCCCGGGAAATTACGTCCAAACCGAATTGGAAATAGTCTCCCCGGTTTTTTGGCCATAATTTCCCGAAAATAAAATATTTTTCTTGGGGAAAATATGACCAAATTTAAAAAGGAATTATTTTCTTCAATATTTCGGACATAAATTCCCCACAAAAAAGACAAAATATTTCTAGGTATTTCTATTAAACATGGCTTTTTATATATTTCCAATAATTTTTTTTTCTTGCAAATAAAATTGCAAAATTGTATAAATTGAATAAGTTTTGCAATAATAATAACGAAAATAATTAATAGAATTTATAATAAATAAAAAAAATTGAAAAAAACACACAAATATTTCATATTATATGATATGTAGCTTTGCCTTGTAGACCATGTAGAGATGGTTACGTGGAGAAAATATGTATTTGACAAACATTGATATCTGTCAAAAGAAACAACGTAAACAACACGAAGTGAAGCTATTCTGGTGAATCATATAATATAAAATATTTGTGTGTTTTTTCAATTTTTTTTATTTATTATAAATTCTATTAATTATTTTCGTTAATATTATTGCAAAACTTATTCAATTTATACAATTTTGCAACAAAAAAATATTTGCAAGAAAAAAATATATAAGAACCTGGCGTGAAAGAGATGGCGCTTCTTAAATCGAGTCGCGTTGAAAGCCGACTGTAAGTGATACTCGATCTATGACCATCCTACAGAGATTATGGGGGTACGATTTTTGATTCTCGTGAAAATATCAAAATCGAACCACTCTAATGTAATTTTATTTATGCAGAAAACAATGAATATGTGTATTTAAGTGCAGATTTTTATAATTTAGTGTTATTTTATGATAAAAAATCGATGGTTCAATATAGTTTTCTGACATAAAGCAAAAAAAAAAGTTACTTGTTGGAGTGGCTCTTGGTCTATACCGGAAAATTTAAATTTCCCAAAATGTGACCTTTTTCAAATATTATCCAAACTAGTATGGTACAGTTTTTAAAAAAAGCGGTACATTTAAGTACATTTTTAAATTATTTCTTTAGATTTTTTTTCGAATTTTGGCCACAATTTCTTCCATTTTTTGAAAAAATGTATGGAGAAATTGTATCCATTTAGTTTTGGATGTAAATTCTCCATCAGTTTGGCAATATTTTCCCCGGGAAATTACGTCCAAATCGAATTGGAAATAGTCTCCCTGGGTTTTTGGCCGCAATTTCCCGAAAATAAAATATTTTTCTTGGGGAAAATATGACCAAATTTTAAAAGGAATTATTTTCTTCAATATTTTGGGCATAAATTCTCCATTAGATTTGTATGGGGGAAATTGTAACCGGGGAAAATATGACCGGTCACCTACTTTGCCAAGACTATTTTTTACACAAAAAAATAACATTCTGAAAATTTGAAGAGATTTCAATTAAAATTAGGGGTACCTCCCATACAAAATTTTCAATTGGCTCAAAAACGAATATTTTGTATGGGAAGTACTCTTGATTTTGGTTGAAATTTCTCCAAACCCTCCGAATGTTATTTGTGAAAAAAATAACCTGTGCAAAGTTTCACGCCATTAAGGTAGCATACAGACATGGCTCCCATACAAAAATCCAAATTTGTTGTGACTTTAGTTATGAAAAGTGTTTCAAAAATAATCTTTATGGCAAAATTAACGTCTGACATATTTTTTATAGTGTTTTGTTAGAAAATAGAATACTTTCAAATGTCGTACAAATGGGTTCATCATGAAAGTGTGAAAAATCTTTTCTCGGGTACTTCTGCTATTAAATTAAAGAATATTTCGTTGCCAAAGTTGAAACATATTTTTTGGTATCGAACTTTACGCCACTTGAAAGACTTGAAGAATCGAGCAAATATTATTTTGAACTTTCTTAATAAAATACGCAACTACCACCGTGCGGAAAAGTTCGTCTTACTCCCGTAAGACTCTTTATTTTCTCATAAGTCTAGCAGTGTTTTAGTGGAATTCTGTCAAAAATCCACCACCATCCATGGTATTTCGTATTTTTTTGACCGTGACCGTCACTGGATTGAACGGTACTCCTTGCATTTTTCTTTGCAGTTATTTTCTTTTTTTCTCGATTTTATGCAATTCAAAATGGTGAAAAAATTTCAGTTTATGGTGGATTTGTGCATTTGAGGTTTCAGTGTATTACTTTTCCGCACACACCTAGTGTGAAAGGGGAAAGTATTGCAATAGGTCAAAATTTACGAAACCTCAAAAACATGTTTTCTGGACGTTTCTGAGGTCAGAGAACCCGAATCAGGCCGTTTTGAGCATGGTTGTTGTGGGTCGCTTCCACGTCGTACGTCGTACGTCGTACGTTGTCCGCCGTACGCAAAATTTGTCCATCGATTATCTCACCCCCCAGAAAAGTTATTTGAAATCTGACTTCACGGGATGATTGGGGGTCCCGAGGAATAGAAATCATTAGCTTTTGAGCGACTTTGGTTGATGGAAAAAAATTCCATGCCTGGAGTGATACCTATGAAAAAGAGTCCAATTTTCGTCCAAAAGTCATACTTAATGTAGACTTAAACACTCAAAAATATGTAATGGGGGGTTTTTTGGCACGAGAAAACCGAATCCGAGGTTATTTTTGAGATACAATCAATTTTTGATGCAGTTTCCTCAAAAAAATCACAAAGAATTCGGATTTTTATATGGGAGCCATGCCTGTATGCTACCTTAATGACGTGAAACTTTACACAGACTATTTTTTACACAAAAATATAACATTCTGAAAATTTGAAGAGATTTCAATTAAAATTAGGGGTACCTCCCATACAAAATTTTCAATTGGCTCAAAAACGAATATTTTGTATGGGAGGTACTCTTAATTTTAGTTGAAATTTCTCCAAACCCTCCGAATGTTATTTGTAAAAAAATAACCTGGGCAAAGTTTAACGCCATTAAGGTAGTATACAGACATGGCTCCCATACAAAAATCCAAATTTTTTGTGACTTTAGTTATGAGAAGTGTTTCAAAAATAATTTTTATGGCAAAATTAACATCAGATATATTTTTATAGTATTTTGTTAGAAAATAGAATACTTTCAAATGTCGTACAAATGGGTTCATCATGAAAGTGTGAAAAATCTTTTCTCGGGTACTTCTGCTATTAAATTAAAGAATATTTTGTTGCCAAAGTTGAAACATATTTTTTGGTCTCGAACTTTACGCCGCTTGAAAGGCTTGAAAAATCGAAAAAATATTATTTTGAACTTTCTTAATAAAATACGCAACTACCACCGTGCGGAAAAGTTCGTCTTACTCCCGTAAGACTCTTTATTTTTGCATAAGTTCGATTTACAGCATGCATGCTGTTTTTTTTACATGTATTTAAAAAACATTGAAAGTCCGGTCATTTTAAGCTTCAGTCATACACCAATGTCGATCGGTAAAGTAACGATTTGTCCCATCGGTGCGGTCAAATTTACAATATAATGGCAGTTCAAGCATTTTTTTTTAACAACCTTATTTTGTTCAACTACAGCTAAAACTTCAGCAAGGAAACTCAATTACACAGATATCTATCGTTCTATATTTAAATTAGACGGAAATGAATCCAGACTAGTCACGGATGATGAGTAAAGGATCTTCTTTGAATGTTAAAATTTGAAGCATTAAAAACTGAAAAATCAAACTACTTTCCAATTGATTTCAGATTAAAACTCATGAAAGTAGCCAGTTTAGTATGTGTAGAGAACTTTTCCGAGGATATTTTCAAATTATTCCCCAATGACAACTATGCCGATAAATCGATAATAAGTACGATTCACGATATGGCGCCCACATATTCCGATACAATGATCAATTGTAATGTGTTTAATAATATGGCACAGTGTCATGATTATTTTTTTCCAAGCATAACTGATGATGGCCTTTGCTACACTTTCAATATGTTCAACACGAAAGATTTTGTGACTGATAAGTATAGCTTCATTCTTTCGTTAGGCGAAAAACGTTTTTTTTTTATATTATTAATTTGAACCAATTTTCAGCTTATCATCGGATTTATTGGATGTGCTCTACAATATATCGCCAATGGCCAATTGGAAAATGGAAAGTGGTTACGATGAATCACACGTTAAGCCATATCCAATGCGAGTATTTGGCACTGGCAAACAATTTTGCGTTGGTGTTTTACTCCGAATTTTTAATAGTGATTCGGATCCACTGGCGGTGGTAAAAAAAATTGCAAATTATGCCCAAACTGTCACACTGCTAGCGCCTCGATGGAATTCAGTGTAATCTACACTAAGTTGCCGCCAAATAGTGAAAAGACTTCTGCTCAATTGCAAACAACAGACTAGAACTTCATAGTTGTCCGTAGTGGCGCTAGCAGTGCTACAGTTTTGCATTTTATACAGTCTCTTATGGGGCATAATTTCAGGAGCGACACAAGGATTCAAAGTGATGTTTCATCCGCCCATGGAAGAGCCACAAATATCGAAGCGATTCTTTACAATCCCGCCCGGGAAAGAGGCATTTTTCTCAATAAGTCCAAATGTAGTCATTACATGTAATGGTTTGAAAAAATACAGCCCGAATGTCCGACAATGTTACCTTGAACATGAACGAAAATTGATGTTTTAGAAGCATTACACAAAACACAACTGCGAACGTAAGCAGAAAGATGAAAATTTCCAAAGAGAATGCGATTTCCACCGTTTTTAATTGAATTTTATCGTTTTCAGAAGAGTGTCTGGCCAACTTCACCCTTAGTGAATGTAGTTGTGTTCGATTCACAATGCCAAGTAAACAAATCAATGTTAAACACTTTTCGATTCGATTTAATAACTGACGGTATTTTCAGGATCGAATGACACGATGATTTGTGGATCTGCAAAAATTGATTGTTGCAATAAAGCTTCGAATAACATTTATCGTAACGGAATATTTGACGAATGCAAGTGCTTGCCCAGTTGTACAAGCTTGTCTTATGACGTCGACACTAATCAAGCTGATTTTGATCCAATGAACGCTTTCTTAAAGTCATTAAATCCATCTGGAATCAATTTCGGAAAGTAAGAGTAGCCTTAAGCTGCTTTCAAATAACATTGGATAAAATTTTCATTGGATTTTCGGCCAGAAAAATTTTAGGATCAAAGATTTCAAGGTCGCCGAAGATTTGGATGCTACCTTTTGATCTAATATAATAATCTTGTTACTTGGAGTATGATTTCATTAGAAAAGATACAATTTAAAATTAAAAGATTTAAAGAAATAGCATCGTTTCAAGTATTTTGGATCACAGAAAAAAAATGTTTGATTTTTTGTTCAACATTTATTTTTCATAGATAAAAAAACAATCAACGCTTATTATAAATTGACTTAAAATAAATTTCGCTTTTGGAGAAGACCCCTTTGATTCAGTAATGGATTTAAGCATTTCGAAGCAATGCATCAACATTTGATCAATTTCTTCATTGAAGATTTTTCTCAAAAATTCGAGCGATTGAAAGATCGAAAAATTCATGCGATTGATCTCTAATCGATCAAAAAATTACCCATATTCACTGGAGCAGCTAAACAAAGTTCATCGGGTGTAAGTCCCGAACCTAAAATGACACAATAATTGAGATTAAATCGATTTATTTATAAAAATGGTGTAACTGTTTCTTGCGGAAGAAATGATGACAGATAAAATGAAGAGGAGAAGAGCTTTGAGGAAAGGAAGGTACTGAAAGTAGGTTACTCGAGTATCTATTTTTGCCGAAAGATATTTTTGTGGTAGAAATCACTTTTATGTGGACAAAATGTCTCTGCCACAGTGTAGAAGTTGATTGGACCTTCTTTTGCACCTCTCATTCACTTCCCTTTTTGAAAGAAAAATAATATACCGAGTGGAAGAAATTGGTCAGCTTGTCCATTGTCCTTGAGTACCGATTGTAAAGCATGCCGTAGTGCACAAACAACAACATGACTAATTAAAGGTATAAATCATATTAAAGAAAAAATCTATATATTAAATTTTTTTTCAACAAAAAAAAATTATTTAAAAAATTAAAAAAATACCTTAGAGCGACTGCTGGTTCACCTAGATAGAAAACGAAAGACAACTTAAAAACAAAGACAAGAACCCACCCGAAAAAGAACCGGTGGCTCTACTCACCAGTCGCTTTCGATCGAAGTACTCCGACTCTGTTGTTTGTGTTTTCAGTTTCGATGAATTTCACACGAAAATCAATTGGTATATCTTTTGCACCGGGCACTTTATAATTCCATGTCCGATTTGTAACCAGTTGACCTAAATTATTATCAAATTTGAATTGATTAAAAGTAATTTTTTGTACAAAAATCAAAACGTTTCTACTCAATTCAAGTTTCGATTATGGAAATTTTATGTAAAAAGTAAAAACAAAAATGTTCGTGTAAAACTGACCAGTTAATCGATTATAAACGTATTTTTCGGTGAGCCAATATCCCAATCCCATAACAAACGACCCCTCTACTTGCCCACAATCAATTAATGGACTAAGAGATCTTCCTGTATCTTCAATCAGATCAACCCGTTGAATTTGTTGATTTCCCGTGAGTGAATCCCATTCAATTTCGGCGCATGCACATCCATAAACAAAATATGGTTTTGCATCGATCGGAAAGAATGTGTGTCGTGCCGTTAAATCCACATAGTTTTGATGGCATGCCTCCACAATTTCTTGCCATTTTGCATTCTCTGGCATTCGATCTCGAATCGGTTTGATTCGTTTCAATAGAATTTCACACGCTCGTTTTGTTGCCAAACACACTGAATCAGAGGCAACATTCGCAGCGGTATAAAATGAATTTGGTGCCGTTTCATTATTTGATGCTTTCACCTGCACCATTTCAACGGGAATGTTCAATGCAAATGCGGCAATTTGCGCCGATTTTGTATTTATGCCTTGGCCAACCTCGATGCCACCGTGACTCACAATCACCGTCCCTATGATAAATTGCAACATATTCAAAATGGTGAAACAAATAAAATGATGAAACAAATAAACAATCACCGTCCCCATGATAAATTGCAACATATGCGGAAAATGGACCAACGTAAACGATCGGATATTTCATCTGAATGAAGCCAATGCCTCGTTTCCGCCAACGATTTCGTGCATTATATCGATCCACCTCTTTTCGGCGCTCGTAGTAATCTGAAAAAAGGAATTCGTTTGGACACATTCTCTGAAAGAATGGCTTTTGACTCACCTATGTCCACCAAAATTTGCTCCAGCGTCGATTTCCATACGTCGCCGCGTTCGAGATTGTTCAACCTCACTTGGACCGGATCCAATTTCAACTTATGGGCGATATGTTCAATAATCGTCTCTATCATTGCGATCGATTCCACTGAACCTGGCGCGCGACACCAGTTGCTAATGTTCGTATTTGTTAATAGTGGTTTTCCCGAGTATTTCCATCGTTTCGATACATAACTCAATAAAAATGCTTGCAAAACACTTTCATCGTTCATTTCATTCAACGAATACCCATAGTCTTCGCTCGGCATTGAAAATGAAAAAAATATAAAAAAAACAAATGGAGGTGGAGGGCATCGATCACATGAAAAGCGAGCCCACAATTGAATTTACCTTCGATGTAGAAATTGGTCAATCGTCGAATTTTTCCCGTTTTTGGATCCAGTGCTAGCTCATACTTATTAGCGCATGGATAACGTTTGCCACAAATTGACATCATCGCCTCGATTGTCATAACAAAACGAACCGGACGATTCGTTAAATAGCATGCCAACGCACAAGCACACGCAACCAATGAACTTCGAGCTATTTTCGAGCCGTACGCTCCTCCCACTCTTTTAACCACAATATTTATTTTGTTTTCAGGTATTTTCAGCGATTGACTTATGCCCATTTGAACCATATCAAGCCCTTGCGATGCCGTGTATACGTTTAAACCGCCATCATCGGAAGGCGCAGCAAATGTTGTTTGTGGCTCCTGTAAAAATGAACTTTCATTTAATTTTTTTTTTCATTTTTGATTTAATTGAAGGATACTCACCATGGGATAATGATATTGAGTCCCAACTTCAAATTCACCACTGATAAAAACCGAATCGCTTTCAATTTCAACAGTTTGATCTAGAACAGGGTGTGTGATTGATCCGGATTGATTTAAATTTGATTCAACTTTACCTTCTTCACTTGCAGCAGCAGCAGCAGCACCGTCATCATTTTCCTTATCTCGGAGCGAATCAATCACACTCAACAACTGTCCCGTTACAAGCGGCTCTTTTCCTCGAATCTTTTTATATGTAATCTTAACTTGCGAGGCTGCATAATTTGCCAATGCCATACTATTCGCCACTATCATACCACACGGTTGACCTAAAAAAAGCATTCATTTCACTTCAGGAGATCTATTTGGTTTTTTATTTTTGGATTCTGACCATTGTACTGAATGATTGAGTCGATTTCAACGAAAATCACTTCATCTTCTAACAATCCGGGTAATCCGTTGCGCGTGAATGAATTTTTGCCGGGTATATCTTTGGCTGAATAGAAACTGTGCACGCCAGGAATTTTCTTCAATTAATCAAAGAGAGAAATTTTTTTTAGCAAAGGAAAAAAGGAGGAAAGAACGAATGTTGCTCAAAGATACGTACCAACGCTTTTGATGGATCAATTTTTATGATCTTCTCATGAAATTCGGTTGTTTGCACGAATGCGGCCCATAATTCTTCCTGCACCGACAAATGACTGAACAAATCATTTGAATACTGTTAATAGATTTAAAGGATTTTGAAAAAATCGGTAAAGAATAAAAAAAAGATCTTACACACCAGAAATGTGAAAATAAATCAAAGAACGTATACTTTCAAGCTTGAAAAACACCATTTTACTTCAAAAT